GTCGTTCGTTCCCAACTCTTGTTCTATGCCATCGCGTGGTAAGTTTTATCTATGAACATTGGTGGATAGGGAGATTTTGAATGTCTTAATGGACATCCGCGGAGCGTTTTTAATATTTTTATCTATTTTGTAAGCCTTTTCCCCAAATATCATTTTCCATGGCCGATTAATTGATTGGTCAATGGATTGAGGGATATCCGGGGAGCGTTCCGTATGTGTCCATTAGAATGGATACCTCAATTAATTTAGATACTGTTGTATAAGTTTATTAAAAAACGATAAAAAACCTTGTATAAGCATTTAAATAAGAAGTGTGTGCTTACTTTTTTTTATAGATGGGCGGTTGGAGCAACTGTTGATGCTCATCTAAAATGAAAATGGAAAATAAATATCAAAATCCAGAAATGTTGGTAGACACCCATCAAGTTGTGTTACGCCATTCCGATATTTTAATTATGTTGTCCATAAGGGTAACCGTTATTTACACTTTGCCTTTTATGTTTAAGGCCGGAATAAAGAATCACCTAACACTGTCCTGGAGTTCGTTCCCCCAGCAGATTCGTCTACGCCATCCGGCGGGAACTTTGATCTATGGACATGGGTGGATCGGGGGACGGTGGATGGCTTAAAGAACATCGAAGGAGCGTTTGTTCTGCGCGAATTCTAATATCTGCCTCAATCTTAGAAAAAAGGTTCACTTGCTATGTCTGCTTCTATGATGTGACGTGATTCTTCAATGACCAAAATGGGCCGCGTGAAACGTGGATCCGTCCTTATGAGCGGCTTCCAATACGCACCGATCATTGTGGCGATGGAGGTGTTGCGTTGAATCCATAGGCGTTTTTCGGAGGATTGAGAAACCTCTAGGAGCTGCATCGATTCGGGAAATAATGCCATCCTTACTCTGTCCATTCGGCAGCAACCTCGCTCCGAGTTATTTACAACCATCAACTTCTTCAGGTTGACAGCCACTAATCTTGTGAGGTGCCTTCGCTAGGGCAGGGATGCACTGTGAAAAAAACGTTAGTTTTCCCAACGTTCATAGGAAAACGACCGATCTAGTGACCTCATTCACCTCCGACACCAGAGTGCTAATGTTTGAAACTAGTAAAGTCATATCATCGGCATAGCTGAGATCAGTCAACCGGCGTCCGGGTAAAAAGCACCTACTACATGGGGAAAATAAAAGTAAAGATTGTAGTTACATCCGTCTGAATGCGTAGGTGAGGCGGCTTTGACAACCCCGAGGGTGCACCGTGGAAGGTGCCGACGTAGAAAACGGGCGGGCGGGGAGTCGGCGTTTGTGGGGAAGGCGTACTGGTCATCTTCACCGACGCGTGACTTCAGCGTCCGACCATCCGCGATCCGAGCCAACAACGTTCACTCCATTTACACAATCCAGTCCAAGTTGTGATGCGTTGCAAGACTGGGATGGATCGACATGTCGGTCTAAACAGCGGCCAATGCCTCAGGCTATTAACTTGCTGCCTGTGAATATCGTATTCACCTCGACTTTTCTAGCAGAGGTCTGAGACACTGGATCATCCCATTGGAGCAGGGGTTCGGAACGTACGGCTCGCGAGCCAGGTGTTGATTTTTTGATGATTGCATTTGTCTCTCTCAGAATATATATATCTGAAGACTTATTATACTCACATTTAGTTGAATTCCATCTTAAAATATATTATATGGCTCTCACTGAAATATATTTCCAAATATCTGCTTTATTGGCTCTCCGAGTGAGAAAAGTTCCCGACCTCTGCTTTGCAGCCTCACATTTGTCTGTGTTTTCGTATAGAGCGGACTGTATCATCTGGAGTTCTCAAAGGATGGTGGGGTGCTTAGTGTAAATAAGATATGGGCTGCATTTTAAGCGTGAGAATTCATGAAATGTCTAAGAGCATAACACCTTTTTTGAAAACATTCCTCCAGATAACTTTACGTGGTGGGAAGGACTTGCCCATGAATTCAAGATAATCTAGCAAAACTACCCCTTCTTAGATGCCGAGAGACACCGTTGGATGAGGTGTGTTATTGAAGTTTTCGTGAGCGTTAACAAACTACTCCAAATCTCAATGTGAAATGAACATAAGGCGTCGAACAGTATATAACGCTAGCTGTTTTGTTTATGTTTGTGCCTGTGGCTGTTAGTAGGTCAGCCTGAGCGGAAATTGACTCGCGTTTTTTATGACTGTAGTGTATAAATCATCCGACTGCGAGGCTATCCGTTTAGGTAAATCACAAATATTTCAAGCTGGGTTTGCCATCTACTTGCAGAGCTCTCTGTCATTCGCTGGACGGCACTATTTCACTTTCACTCAGTGGAATTGATCAAACAGGCAACCCATAGAACAAGGGATACGAATTCGGTCCGGAGATGCAGTTAAACCAGTCGCCAAACTCTGGACTATGAGAATTAGTGTTAAGTAGCCACCAATCTCCGTTTCTGGCTATTTGCTGTTCCCTCAATGACACAGAGTTATACAACCGTAATCTGACCTGCGAGCGCGCTTCTACCACAGTTACTGTTCCCGATTGCAACCGTGGCTTAGGTTCCAGAAACCTTGCCTGACTTGGGGCTCTCCGACGCCATTTAGGGAGTCGAAATTTGCCACTCGGTACTGACCCTTGGAATATGCTATTGGTTGGTGCGGGCCTGCTTGAGGAGGACTCTAGGTTGCATCCGAATGCACAACGCGAGTAGGATCTCCAACAAAGTCATCGATAAACGATTTGCCAACATTTGTAGTAGTTTTGCTGCATTCCTTAAATTTGTGTCTAATGAAAGCGTGAGAAAAGAGAGAGAAATATGCTCTATTTTGAAGGGGAGAATCGACAATTTTCAGCAGAAAGTGTCTCCATTCAGGGACAGCAACGGATAACTAAGGTACTAGGGCCTAAAATACTCAAAGTTTGAAAGTTTACATGATATACACATCTGAAATGGGGACAAGTCGGATTTTAGTTTGTGAATTTTCGTTTCTTTACACCTGAGGTCGGCAGCTAGGAAAGGGTGTAAAGCGTGCTGATATGCCGATGTACGGCAAAAAATATGACGGAAGCTTTGGCGCATAGCAGCTGAAAAGAGCATGCTGAGAATGCATTAAAAAATGACCAGGTCGTTCTTGAGTAAGGTTGGGAAAAAGTAACTGCAGAGGAATAAAGAAGAAGGGGGATCATGTAGGCATCTATAATTCGCCTGATTAGGGCTTGTGGTGTGCGATATGAACGCAAACGGTGGATATAATATAAAAAAGTATGTGAATTATAATTTAAAATCCTTCAACGTGAATAGTAAATGAGAGTTTTGCTGCCGAAGGAACATCAAAGTACCGGAAAGAAGATACCTCAGTGGAGGGAATGCTTATCTATTCAGGACTGGGAGAGGATTGCAATCAAAAAACATAGTTGCCTGATCAATTGTCGTTTAGTAGAAGGCCATTTGCTAACGACCATGTTTATACACGTGGTCCAGGCCATCTTTCAGTACTTGGAGATTTATCTGACCTTTGAGGGGATGTGTAAGAGCCATATCATCCATGATGAGGCAGATAATTTCCCTGTCATTCATATACGCCTTCATGTAACATAAAGGAGTTTGGTCGAAATAAAAC